CACCAGCTCTTCGTTCTTGGATGCTCTCAAATTGACAAGAACTTCATTTGTGACAAAACCAAAGTTAACTAAAGAAAATTAGTTGGTATTTCAGTAGGAAAATTTTTTTTTCATTCTTCATACTTGATATGCAACTGGATTTAAATAATTTAATTAAAAATAAAAAACAATGTTGAACCACAGCCTGATCCTAATCAATTTGCAAAATCAATCAGACTGTATAAGAAAAAAACTCTAAAATCACGTGGAGGTTCTAATAAAACAAAATCCTTAACTAAACAGCTTCTTGATAACAGCTTATTTTATGATTTCGTGAAACCAAAAACAAATAGATTGATGCATTTGAAATTGTAAATTGTAAAAATAGATATTTTTCTGAAATCGTAAAATTTTAGACGCGAATGAAGCATCTGTAAGTGTCCTGGTAAAATCTTTAAATATTTGGAAATATTTAAAGATTTTACCAGGACACTTACAAGGCCTTGAAAAAAAAAATTTTTTTTCAGGTGGAATAAATATTTAGAAGGATAAGCCCCTTATGATTTTAAGCAAAAGAGAGATTTTCTCAGGGCTTACCAAATAAACCAAAGAAACAATGGACTTTGAATGTTAGGCTGAAGTTTTTTTATAAAAAAAATCGAAAAACTTTATATAATATATATATATATATATATATATATATATATATATATATATATATATATATATATATATATATATATATATATATAGATATATATATATATATATATATATATATATATATATATATATATATATATATATATATATATATATATATATATGTGTGTGTATATATATATATATATATATATATATATATATATATATACATATATATATACATATACATATATATATATATATACATATATATATATATATATATATATATATATATATATATATATATATATATATATATATATATATATATATATATATATATATATATATATATATATATATATATATATATATATATATATTAAACTTTCAATCTATTTTTTTCCCAATAATATAAATATATACCTTTTTTTCTTCATACAACAGTGTTTAAAATGTTTTAGAACTTGAAAAAATCATTTTAATTCATGAAAAGTTTTGTTAAACATAAAAAAAGCTCTATCAAACCTTTAAAGATAGAGTAAAGTAGTTTTACTGTATCATTGAGTTACATTTTATTTCTAATATAAGTTTAAATAAGATTAAATTAATTAAGATATAAGACCTTGGATAAATTGTGATTTAAAAATCTTTTGAGACAAAAAAAAAACTGGAGTAACAAAAAGTTAAAAATATTATACTGAAAAATAAATCTAGCTCGCCAGTCAAAAAAATTGCAACCTTCTTTAAAGCTGCATTAATGATTAAAGAACTATAAAAAAAGGTGGCTTTTAACTATAGAATAGATTGCCTTTTTTTTTTTTGCAAGCGCTTAAAATTTTACTTTAAATAATGAAATTTTTCGCACGTGAAAAAAATAAGCATGCTTGTCTTTTTCCATGTCCAGCATAGGCAACTGCTGCGGGGCCAGAGCGTTTGGAGATGGACGTGCTTATTGTTGTTATTGTTGTTGTTATACTTAATTCTACCAGTCAGTTTGTTTAAAGTAGCATACGTGTTTGTTTAAAGTAGCATACGTGTTTGTTTAAAGTAGCATACATGTTTTTTTAAAGTAGCATACGTGTTTGAAGTAATAAAGCTAAAGCAAAACAAAAAGAAATTGAAGTAAACTAACCAAAAAAAATAAAACTTGATTTTTTTTTTTGATATGCTTAATACTTTCTTTTTTAAAAAAAATCAAGTTCTCCGTTCATACTGACAACAAAATACGTGTTACCTTAAACAAGTTATACATTTTTAATGTTAAAAACTACTAATTAAGAAAACCAAAATCAAAACATGCTAAAACTTTGTAGTAGCAAAGAAACAATTTTTATATTTGCATAATTAGTTTAATTTTGTGTAAAATTAAGTTACATTTTCTGATAAACAGTTAAACATAGGGAGCAGCGATGTATTATTTAACGATGAGTTAAACAATAAGTCAACTTATTGTGTTCGATGCATTGAACAACTCAACGTATTCGATACATTAAACGAGATGAATTGTTCAAAGCATTGAATCTGATTAATCAAAAAAAATGTACCTGAAAGAATAATAATGTGTTATCTAAAAAATAATATAGATAATAGTATGAAATTACATATATTATAATGTAAGTATTATTATAAAGTATTGAAAACATTATAATGTATCAAAAAACAACCATAGCTGTTTTTTATTTACGATTATGTTCCTTACAATTGATTTAATTTTCACATGAGAAAAAGTAAAGCAGCCGTAGCGCAGTGGGAGTAGCCGTAGCGCAATTGTTTGCTCGCTTGCCTCAGAAGTTAGAGATCCGTAGTTCAACGCCACCTTTGGGCAGGTTTTATAACATCGGTAAGGAAGGAGGTTTATCATAAAACACCCCTTAACCAACACATTACAATCACTCATTGATGACACACAAGACACAATGAAACAGACACAAACACAACTTCAAGAAAACAAAACAACTGAATTCGTAAGAAGGTCTTGTGAACGCTTGAAGGTCCAAAATTTTGGAAAATTGATTAATAGCCCAGAAGGACAAACCTTCTTGATAACGGCGATGAAAGATTTAAGTTATTTAACTCGTAAGTTACAACAATACCTATTGCCGATAAAGGGTATAAACTTCATTACTGGAAATCCCAATCATTTAAGTACCCCAAACTTGCCCGCTTTGCCAGGAGAAATATTGGCAATTCCAGCAGTTTCCTACAGTTCTAAACGATTATTTTTCACTGCTGGAATTACCTGTTGTGACAGGAGAAAAAAGTTGCTATCATCCAAATTTGAAAAATTTGTTTATATAAAAGAAAACTCAAGACAGATAAAGACAATGTATGATGTGTACAAATTGCAATTTTTTATTTCTGTAAATTTTCTATTCTATCATTGTAGGATAATAGCAAATAACAATATCCAAAAAATCTATTTTAGCTTTGAATATAGCTGTTTTTTAAATTTACTTTTTATTCTTTCAGGATTACAAAGCATTGTTTAACAATCTTTCGACGCATTTGTAGTCTTTCGACGCATTTGTAGCACGATGTACCTGTCTTATACCAGTCTTTCGACGCATTTGTAGCACAATGGGATCGTCCATAAATTACGTAACGACTTTCACAATCCCAGTGGGCACGGAAGTAAAAAAGGCGTCTTTTAAACGTTTAAAATACGTCCAAAACGTTCAAAAGACGTTCAGAAAACGTCTAAAACGTGTATAAGACGTTTAAAAGACGTCCTTTTTTACTTCCGTGCCCACTGGGATAAACAAAACAAAAAAAAGGTTTTCCCTCGCAGAGAACTAATTTAAATAAAAAATTAAATTAGCCAATTAAGTTTATTGAAAATTTCCGGGTGAAAGAGCATAATATTTCCTACTTCAGTTTTTTTAAATATATTTTGCGTTGCGTAATTTATGGACGATCCCAATAGCAAATAAGAATAACCAAAAGGTGGTAAAATGCGAACTTTTTTGCGAACCAAAACATTATATTTTAAAGACCATTATTGTTATGACTCGTAACGGAGTGCTGCTGTATCGACTACCTTATAGCCTGACTCGCAACGGAGTGCTGCTAAATCGACTGAGGGTTTGGTTAGGGCAGGCAGTCTATCAAATAATTTAAAAAAAATATATTTTCATATGGTATGTGTCTAGTTTCACTTAATTTCCTTTTATTTTTTTTTAATTAGTTTTTTCGTTTAAAAGTCCTTAAAATATACCGCTTAATGAATTATTTAACGGAAATAAAACATTACATCATTTACAACCAATAGGACAATGGTTTGCAAAAAAGTTCTCATTTTACCATTTCGCATTTCGCGGTTCGCAGTTCGCATTTTACCTAGTACCTAACCAAAATAATTCTGTAGTTTTGAATTTAGCTGATATATAATATTAATTTTTATTCTTTCGACGCATTGTTTAACGATCCAGTCTTTCGACGCATTGTTTAACAATGATGGTTATTCGAAGCATTGTTTAACGATGCGCCACTAATGACAAATACTGTTAATGGACGTTTTCTTTGTAGCAAAATCTTTGTTAGAACAAAGTCAAACTTTTCAGCTAAGTCTTTTTAAATATATTTTCAGAACAGTTTTTACAGTGTATTATAGTTTGAAAAGTCTTTTAATATAAAAGCAATGTTTTGGCATAGATTAAACTTTTTCTTATAAAATAAGATTAGTAACCACTTAGTTAATTAGTAAGGATTTAGTTAATCAGTATTTCGTATTGAAGTTTTAATAAAGCTTGGTAAGCATAATTTTTAGGTAATATTCAAGAGATTTTATTTTTTCGTATTTGCTTATAAATTAATTTTTAAAACATTTAATTTTTTATTAGAATTTTTTAATTGTTAATTATGTTTACATAATTCAGCTAAAAAAGCCGTCAAGTAAACCATATATCCGATCATTTGACTTATCTACGTTTTTATAAAACCTTAATGCTAACCATGATAAATGATACACGAGTAATTGGTTAACGCGCTTATATTATGCATTTATATATATATATATATATATATATATATATATATATATATATATATATATATATATATATATATATATATATATATATATATATATATATATATATATATATATATATATATATATATATATATATATATATATATATATATATATATATATATACATAAATATAGAAATTTTATACATTTTGTTGGTAGCATTGTATATATATATATATATATATATATATATATATATATATATATATATATATATATATATATATATATATATATATATATATATATATATGTTCTGTGTGTATATATATATATATATGTGTGTGTGTGTGTGTGTGTGTGTGCGTGTGTATGTGTGTACCTTTTAGTTTTTTTCTTTTTAGCAATAATCAAACAGCTGAAAAGGTATAAAACTTTAGATCCTTTCATTCTTATCAAACTCATATTTATTTTTTAAAATTTATAAATCATATTTTAGTATGCATTAATATTGTTTCATTTATTAGAATCATAACAAGCAATATATAATAGTATGAACAGCAATTTCGAATTGTGTGTACCTTTTAGTTTTTTTCTTTTTAGCAATAATCAAACAGCTGAAAAGGTATAAAACTTTAGATCCTTTCATTCTTATCAAATTCATATTTATTTTTTAAAATTTATAAATCATATTTTAGTATGCATTAATATTGTTTCATTTATTAGAATCATAACAAGCAATATATAATAGTATGAACAGCAATTTCGAAAATGACTTAACTTGCTCCATTTGTTTGGATATTGCTGATAATGCTGTTGAAACTAAATGCTGCAATCATATATTTTGCGAAAATTGCGTGAAGTTTTTAAGTTTTTGCCCATTATGTTGGGCACTTCCATTTTCATTTAACAATTCATTTTTAGCGAGACGGTTAATTGGAAACCTAACAAAAAAATGTCCAAACGAGGGCTGTGGAAAAGATGTGCCTAGATCTGAATTTTCTAAACACGAACTGTTATGCGAGTTTTCAATTTTTAAATGCTATATACCAACTTGCAATTTTAAATCAACAAAAAATGACTTAATGAATCATTTATTAACTTGTCATAGTAATTCTGTTATTAAGATATTGGAAGAGTATTACTCTACAAATTCATCCAATCAGATCAATGTATATGAAGAGCCCAATAACTCTCATAATTTTATTAGTACGAAAATTAACTCAAGGGGTAGACAAGCTAGGCTTGGTGCAACGGGAAAGTATTATTGCTTAGGAGGACTTGATCCAACATTAAATTGTAAATGCTGTAATGGAGTATGTGGTCCAACCAGTGGGTGTAACTGTACTTCTTGCATGGCCCTAGATATCCGTACTCGTAAACTTCCTTATGGTTGGTATGTTAATAAAGAAGGATTTCCTTGTATAAAAGGAGAAGGTGGAATATTTTATTGCGGCAGAAAAATGGACTTATTTTTTTCAGATGGCTACTGCGGCCCGTATAATGGTCCAAACTGTTTGTCTTGTCAAATTATTGGATCCGAAGAAAGTGCTTATCAAGAGGCTCTATTAAACTTACCTAATAGTTTTTCTTTAGGAGCTTTGCCAGTTTTTTGTTTGCGTAAGTAATGTTTTTTAAAATGTTAAAATGTAAAAGGTATTTATAATATAGGTTGTATATAGAATTAAGTTTTCTGTCGCCTTATTAAACTTCAATGAATTACAGCTGCTGTTTTTTTATTATTATTTTGTTATATACGCATTTTTCATGATACGATACGACAAGAACTTTAAATGTTTTAAATAAAGTTTAAAATATAAACAGCCTAGTTTTTAAATATTTTGTTTTAAATGTATGTTTGTAATATGTTATATGTTGATGATATAGCCAGAGGAGATTTTACGAGGGGTGTGTGTGTGTGTGGGAAGGGGTGGGTGGGGGGTGGTAATGTAAGACTGAAGAGTGTCAAATGCCCGGAAAAAAAAAAAAACCCAAAAAAAACATCAAAAAGAATTCTAATGCTTTTTGACGTGTATAAAGAATTAAAAGTCATTATTGATATATGGTCACATATAAACATTTTTAAAATACCATTGAAGATTTTTTTTTACTATGCGGAAGGAGGGCGCAGAATTTTTGAATGTAAATTTTTAGTATAATTAAACAAAGGTTTTTCAGCTAAATTTATTATCTGCTGTTTTAAGATAGTCGGTCTACAGCCAAAGTCTGTCCGTAATAACCATGATGGGACTTTTGAAATTATACGTAATATCACGTAATAACCATGACCCGTTGGATTTTTAAAATTATTTAAGAACCACTTAATCAATTTTTGTATTTTTTTTTTAAATCACGTTTTTCTCTAGATTCTGCAAAGGTTTTAAAAAACATTATCTTTAAGTTGATTACAAAATTTTTCAGTTTTGTGCAGTTACCTCGCATAAGCTTTTGGGCAATAGTTTTTTTTAAACTTTGTGATGCTACACCTCAAAATTGACAAAATTGATTAATATTTGATGCAATTTTTCGCTTTTTATGCAGCTTACGTTTCATAATTGCCCTAAATCAATTAGACAAAGTTGCTGCACGTTTGCTGGGTTCATGTTTTTTGGTAAAAAATCAACACCATTTCGTTTAAGTCATTCAATTACACTTTTTGGTTAGTAGCAAAATGAAAGATCATGAAGATGAGCGGATCATTATGTTTTTGATTATAGGCAAAAGTTTTAAACATTCTTTCAAGTGAACATTACAGTTTATGTTTCCGTAAAAAATGGCTGAGTTTTGAAACCACAAGATGGCTTGCCATAACAAAAAATTATTTGTAATTTTTTTAGTTTTAACTGTTTTTAGCAAAACCCAGGGTCGGAACTGTATAAAATTGCTGGTCGGAACTGTATAAAATTGCTGGTCTAACTATCCATTAAAATGCACTATTAATTTCCTTGAAATTTTTCTTGTAACACTTTTCAACTGCATTTTTGTCCTTTGCTAAATTGCTATTGGCATCTTTTAGGAAATTTCTGTTTTTTATATGTCTTGTAACCATATCTCTTTTGGGGTCGTCTATAAAGAACATCATTCTAAATTTGATTAACCCTTCCGCGTAGATTTTCATTGTGCATAAGGCGCTATATTACTCTTAAAGTCTCTGCGCACGAGAGCCATTATTTTCCTACTGCTTGCCATTAGTTAAACTGAAAGTGACGTCCTTTATGGATGACCCCTTTTGACTTCTTGAATTGTAGGCTCGGGAATACATTTTTTTTTTTCAGGAGAAATCTGGATTCACATTGATACATCTAATCCGTTTTTGACAAAGTTTTCAAATTGACAGAGCTCATTCTTGGTTTTTCGACTTTCTTCCCAGTCAAATATATGTGTTGAATGTGCGGTAAAAGTGATGCAAGATTTTGTACCTTTATGTAATAGCATAGAAAAACTTAACATTAAATATTTATTGTCAAATACACTGTAAAATTATTTTAATTATTCATGTTTTGTTGGTTTTCTGTAAAGTACTGCAACATGTACATTTTTGAGATGTAGCATAAATTTTTGATTTGAGATATAGCGTAAATTGAAACTCCACTACATAAAGTGCAAAAAGCTTCATTATCTAAAGTAAAGTATGAATTTTATAATTCTTATTAGATTTTTAGCACTTGGATGGTATTTGTTTTTGAAGCCTAATATTTTTGTATTTTTTAATCAACCCTTCAAATGTGCACTAAAAAATAATTTAATTTTTTAATCATCTAATCTTTGCACAGAGCACCGCGAAAGAGCATTTATTAGGAAGTTCACGCCACCCAGAGGTAGGGTTTGAGCCACAGATCTTACGTTTCTGGGACACGTGCTCTACCACTACGCCACGGCCGTTCAAAGACTTTTCTCATTGCAATGATTAAACTATTTTTTTAAAACCGTAGATGCTCTTTTTAGTGTCTATTTCCAATGCTGGATGAAGGAGTAGGGTAGGGACTAGGGAGGATATAGCTGCAAGCCTCACAATTTTGGGGGCCCCGATTCAAAGTAGAAGTTTTAGTAACTCTGAAAATTAAATATTTTATTAAATTAAAAAAACCTGCGTTAAGTCTACTAAATTTTTTAATTGAAAACAATAATAAACAATAACACAAAAATTAAACAACAAAAACGCTGCATTAAAATTTTTTTTCCGGTCTTGAACTAACGGAGGAGCGCTATTCACTTATACAAAAATAAAATTACTAGATTGGTAGCAGCGCTTCATATCAAAAATCGAATGTAATATTTGTAAAAATCGCTACAAAAACAATTCGTTTTGGAAAATTATTAATGCCTTGAATTATTAATGTCTTTGAAAATGTATTAACGATTACAACTCTTTGCAACTCACAAGAATTCTTTTGTAATTCCGCACAAACGAATTCTTTTGTACTTGCGCACAAACGAATTCTTGTGTGAATGCATATAAAAGCTGTAGCGCTAAACTTGCGAAAGAGAAGATTCAAAAGAAAAAACGAATATATGTCTCAAAAGAGTTTAACGCACATTATTAGCAAAATAAAAAAAGCAAAATACTAGGGAATTATCCTAGATTCCACGTGTGATATTTCTCACGTGGATTAACTTTCTGTGATATTTTTTTTATTATCTTATGAACGTTTTTAATTCTTCAGTAAAGAATGTTTAAAAGACGTTTAAAAAACGTTTAAAAGACATTTAGAACGTAACTTTTAAAAACACATGCCCGTAGGGAAAGTATAGGTTTAGTGCATCTTTACAAAGATTTCTTGTAGAATGACTTCTGCTTCAAACAGCAAACAGTGTTTGCTCAATCAAGTTTATTACTTAAATGCAGGGCCGTATTAAGGCGGGGCGGATGGGGCTGCAGCCCCAGGCCCTTATAAATAAAATAGGCTTTAAGGCCCGTGACTTTTTTTTTTTTTTTTTAGGGAACCAGATAAATATTCCTATGTTTCTCAGTTTTTTTAAATCAATTTATTGGGAGCTGCGGAGGCGTTGTGAATAAATAAATGAAAAGAGATATAGTTTCATTTTTAGTTATAAATGAAATTTTTTTTTATAATGAATTTCTTTATAATGAATTTATAATGAATTCATTATAAAGAATTCATTATAAAGAATTCATTATAAGAATTTATATAAATTCATTATAAAGAATTTATAATGAATTTTTTATAATGAATTTTTTATAATGAAATTTTTACATTTATAAAAAAATATTTACATGATAAAATAACAATACAATACCTTAAGAATTTTGATGAAATAATGTTTATTTTTATTTTTTTAATTTTTTCATTTAAATACCAATACTATTGGTATTTTCTTCCTTTAATGGAGGTGAACACATTATCAATTTGATACACGTACTCCACTGTCTCAATAGTAAATATACCTACAGCTCAGCAGTTGCTTTCTTAAGTCATGATTCAAGACCTTTTGTCAGTTTTCATATATATGGGTGTCTGGGCCAAAGGGGTGTAGCTGTACCTAACCAGTTAGTAAAAAATTATTTAAAAAATGCTCTAAAACATACCTAGATTGTGTTCTTTTATTAGCAAGACTTAAAAAAAAGTTTCTGGGGGGCAGCTTCCCCCCTGACCCTCCTACTTGGGGGGTCTAGGAGCCCCCCAAACCCCCCGGCTGGGGGCCTCCGGCCCACTGACCCCCGGGTTTAGCCTCGCTAACCCTCGGCATTTTTACCTTACCGCCACATTAGGCCCTCCTATACTTACAGCCCCAGGCCTAAAAATTTCCTAATCCGGCCCTGCTTAAATGGTTGTGAAATTATTAGATTTATGTAAACATTTGTCAATTTACTATTACCCAACGGGCATTTGTTGGTTTAAAATTGGTTTAGATCACGTTTAGATGGCATTTACATCTATCTAAACGTTTAGGAATCTATTCTAAACGTATTCTGAATATTTAGTTTTCGTTGAAAAGCATAATCAAACAATTTCCGTACGGAACTAACTTTATTAAATTAGTTTCGTACAAAATGTGTCGGACATTTTGAATCTTTCATTATGATTAAAAATTAGAGTTTCTTATTAATCTTAAATTATGTAATAAATGGTTTAAAAAAGATAAAAGAAATTTGTTTTAAGTATTATATTGTGGCTAATGAAGCAGTTAAAAAGTCCTGTAAGTTCTTCGATAATATTGTATGAGCGATTAAAAGTAATTTTAAGTACAGTAACAATGTATTTTGATAATTCTTTTTTTTCAGTTATTACGACTAAAATAGCAGTTTCAAAAAAGTAGCAGTGTTTCAAAAAAGTATCAGTTTCAGCATTTTTTAAAACTATTTCTTAAATTGTATTTTCTGTTTGGTTTTTAACAACGCTATAGAACGTCTATAGTTAACTCTTAGTTTTCTAATTTTTCCACTTTTAATAAAAGTAGAAAAGTTATGAAAAATAGTTATTACTTATAATGCATAAAATTGCTCTAAAAGTTTTAGAAAAAAATTATGCATTTTAAGTCGTAACTACTTATTAAATAACTAAATAAAATTATTATTTTTTGTTTATATTAAGACCTAACATCTATTTGTTTATGATAGATTTTATATTGATTGAATAGCAATGTTATAATATTTATACTTTTAGTGCAGTCAGTGTCAATTAAAAATTGTGAGGTTCAAATATTTATTTGAACCTCACAAATTTTAAAGGTAAATATCTGACAGATGTTGAACATCTGTCAGATATTTACCTTTTAAATC